AAGAAATTACCCGAAATTTTCGTTCCGTCGCCAAATATTAGAACGAATTGGGAAACGAAGAAAAAGAAAAGGACTCTTAAATATTATTATTATTATTTTGATATAAACATCATATAGTGACTTATTCAGACGTCGTCCATTTTATTTTTAATTTTGTATGCGCGTAATCAACTCCTTAGTTTAGCTTGGTTGAGATACCCAAGGGATAATTCGGCTTGACCCTCTTAAGATCAAAAATCACAACGTGGGTAAGAGAGGTCATAGTTGAAGACCAGCTGCTCTGTCAAAAGCTATCAACGACCGACAAAGGTGTGCTGACGGCTTGTTTCCGCTACCAGAGTCCATCCTGACCAAAGACATGGACCGAATACATGTGAAAAAACAACGAAGTTTTGGAGAAAATGGAAACGAAAAGGAAACTTATACTTAACATCAGGAAGAGACAGTTGAGGTTTTTTGGTACATAATGAGGAAAGAGGGCTTGGAAAATCTGATACTCACAGGGCAGAGGGAAACAACACATAGCATATTTTCTGAGCTTGAATAAATGGATGACAGGACAGGGTTTATTCATAGCTACAAACGGCAGGAAGTTGTGGAGAGTCATGATCGCCTACGTCCTGAGGGGACATTTTTTTAATCAGTCATTTTTTAACGAGCAATCATTTTCTTTCTGAAATTTTCTTGTATTTCAAAGTTGTTGTTTTTTTTAAAAATATTCTATTAATTCTTATATTATTGTGTTTCCCAACCTTTTTAAACAATGGCCCACCTAGAAGCAAATGAAAATACCACGTTATATTCATAAAAAATTTTTAAAGGGTATACATTTAAATGTTATAAAATAAAACCATAGATTTTTAAAAAATACACACACAAATCTGAACTTATTTTATTTCAATGTTTCTATTCAACAATTTGTGCAGCTTATTCAGGGTGAAATCTGTGTTTGATGTTTTTTTTTTTGGCGTTTTCTTCAATGTTTGGTCGAATATGCGATAAGCAGACCGTCATTTCTTATTCAGTTCAACATAATCTTTCTCACTTCTTATTTTTTCATATTATTTAGGGTTGAGAAGCCAAAATCCGTATAAATAAGTAGAAAATTGCAAAAATACTGATAAAGCCTTTATAGCTAATGTGGGATATTCCTTTTGTATTCAAATTCAAAATTTATCAATGAGTAACGTTGAAAGTTTTATTTTGAATCCTCAAAAGAATAAAATGATTTAAAAAAAAATGAATATTAAAACAAAGAATTTAAACTAACATAATCCAAGAATAGTGAAAGTTATTATTTGAAAAAAAAAATGTTTAATAGTTATTCATTTATTTAAATACTAACTTCCGTAGCCGAGTGGTTAGAATATTCGCATTTTGGCCGATAAGTACTCCGATTCGAATCTCACCGTGGTCGATTAGTCAAGGAGACTTCCTGATGGGATCGGATTGGAAATTCCGGAAAACTATACCACAGGTTGACCCAATCCTTGTGAATGAAAACTAAGCAAAATATTTAAAGAGTATATATTTAAATGTTATGAAATAAAACCATTGTTTTTTTTTGTTTTTTTTTTAAATTACACACAAAAATATGAACTTATTTTATTTCAATGTTTCTAATCAACTATTTCTGCAGCTCCTTTAGTATGAAACGTGTGCCTGGTGTTTTTTTTTTTTTTTTTTCACGATTTCTTCAATGTTTGATCGAATGTGAAATAAGCAGACACTCATTTCTTCTCCAGCTGAGTGTAGTCATTCGCGCTTCTTATTTTTGATGTGATTTAGGGTTGAGAAGCCTAATTCATATGTGTTAAGATTTGTTTATTTTATTATTGTTCTCTACAATATTTAAATTAATTATTCATGATTTATATCTTATGTTCGAAAGACGAAAAAAATAAAAAAATATTGTAAAGAATTTATATTTACGCAAACACGGTATGTATCAAGGATGCTTACTCCCTTTTTGTAACCCCCCCCCAAAAAAAAAGTAGTTATTTGTAATACAATTTATATACAGTCAACGATGAAATTATTCGTACACACTTCAATTTCTCAACCTTTTTAAGCAATGGCCCACCTAGGAACAAATGAAAATATCACAGCACACTTAACAAATTTATTAAAGTGCATCCATTTAAATGTTATGAAATAAAACCATAGATTTTTAAAAAATACACACACAAAAATGAACTTAGTTTATTTCAATGTTTCTATTCAACAATTTCCGCAGCTCATTTAGTGTGCCTGGTGTTTTTTTTTTCCTTCAATGTTTGGTCGAATGTGCAATAAGCAGATGATCATTTCTTCATCAGTTAAGCGTAGTCTTTCTCGTTTCTTATTTTTAATGTTATTTAAGTTTGAGAAGCCAAATTCACATAAATAAAAAGTAGAAAATTGCAATAAAACTGATAAAGCCTTTTTAGCTGATGTGTGACATTCGTTTCGTATTGAAATCCAAAATGTATTAATGGGTATCGTTGGATGTTTTAATTCGGGCCTCGATTACTGAAATGGTGACCACTTCATCTTCACACAAATGAAGTCCAATATTAGAAGGAACATTTACGAATAGATTTGAATCCAGTCATACTTTTCCGTAGTGACGGAAAATAATAATCGATCTTCTCGTCTAGCGCTTTTCGTCATGACTAACCGTAATAGGGATTATTTTTTTAAAGAATTATTTGAAAAAAAAGTTCAATATTTATTTATACAAATACTAACGTGGTACCATTAGTACACACACACACACACACACACACACACACACACACACACACACACATACATATATGTATGCAGTGACTATTTCGTGGCACAATTATGAGGATCGCACGGC